CCACCGCGCCTGTTACGACACTGGCTAACACGCCAATCATCCCCCCAATGAAAAATATTTTTCTACGCCACTGAGTGGCTTCATAAAGGCCATTACTGAAGGGATTATAACTTACAGTAGTTGTTTTTAAACATTAAACACTTTAAACATTAAAACATTTTAAACATTAAACGCGTTTGTCGGACAACACACGTATAGTAGGACACGCCAATAACGTAAATATTTTAATTTTAGCCTACTAGGCGATGCTTAAAATAGCAAATTACGATCGAAAAATACGGGGGAGTAGGTCGTCGTATAAGCACAACACATAGAATTTTGAATTTTAAATCATGTTCGTCGTCATGTGCGGATCGTTCCTAACACGCGAATTTACTACTGAAATGAAGCTGTTAATATGAATGAACGCAATTTTAAATGCGGGGAAATTGAGATTCTGATGAACATTTAAAAGCCCACAAAATGGCAATATTAAAAGAGCCCTACGTTTGGCTCGGTTTATGGCCAGAGATGCATATAATATCAACAACATAAAAAGCAGTAATAAGTAGGATTTTTCAATTGTGAAACGGGAGGGGGGGGGGGTTCTTATCCGTCCGACATACAAAAATCGTCCAAAAATCTTTTCGAACTCAGGGGTCGTCTTAATAGGCGACAATTGTACGGTTTCCCTTGTCCTGTTCTACTTGGTCAGTTGTTAAGTTTGAGCGACACTTCAGAAAAGTCTATGTTAAGGACACCAACTACAGTAGATCCTGAATTGGATGTGCTACAGTAAAGAAAATATCCGTGTCTGTTACTAGTCGGACAAAATGCTGCTTCATCAAAGTCTAATCAAACTCTGCTGTGTCTGATTGCTACAATTCTGAAAGTGAGTGTACGCCTCTCTAAAAATTACTTAGAAATGGCAGTCACACACAGACACACTCATTCTCATTGTACTTACTAAACATAAGTTAATCCTTATTTTTTAATGACTGTTTTGAAAGAATGATGTACACCTGTACCTACTTAATTAAAGAAACAATTGTCATCACTATCATCAATGAATCCCAGAAAATATTTCAAATACGGTATTGGTAAAATACATGCAGGGTACCTATTTGTAGTTGCTGTTTATTTCCATTATTTATAACTTTCAATATATCTATTATATTTAAAATGTATATTTATTAAAATATGCAGGTATGCCTGCACAAAAATGTTAAAATATTCCATTCTACAACATAGGTTGGAATAGATAAATTTTATACCTTTTCATATTAATACCTTCTATGACAAAAATCATTAAAGTCAGGCTCCGGAGGGAAAATTTTTTTGATATGTTATATAACTGATTTTTCTATTAAGACAGAAAAAAAGTAGTTTGATCATAAACTGAGCAACTGTGAATGAGATACAGATTTTTGAATATTTAAAAACTGGGGGAAAAGGCTGTAAAAATGGGCAGTTACGCCTCCTTTTCCTCCAGTTAATATTCAAAAATCTGTATCTCGTTCACCGTTCCCCAGTTTTTCGTCAAACAACTTTTTTTCTGTCTCAGAAAAAAATCAGTTCTACAACATATCAAATTTTTTTTCCTCCAGAGTCTGACTTTAAAATATTCTATCTGCATCAATCTCGTTGATATTAAACTTAAAGATATTTATCCCTTACATTTTGTATGAATACACCATTATAACTGTGTTTGTGCTTTAAATGAGAAGACCCAATAATATTATTTATTATTTTTAATTGTTTTTAGCCAAGGATATGCCAATGAACATAATCACCTAAGTGGCATATCCCTTCACAACACAAACATAAAGACAAGATGTTATACATAAACTAAGTCTTACGATTATGAAGCTAAGGGAGAGAATTGTTTGTGGTTGGAAGAAAAAGTCCTGTTACTGTAACAGGACTGAACCCAAGACCATGGAATTGGGAGGCAAGCACCATAACCACCAAACCATTCAATTCCACACCAAACGTTTTTGATAATAATGGTAACATATCCTGCTGTATACTACAGCTTGGTTATCTTAGCCACCAAAATATATTACATTTCCTCCATGATCAAACAAATATGTTTATGAAAATTTTCTCTTAAACACCATTTCTTATTTATAAAGAACACCAAATTGACTAATAATAGATCAGACAATATCATCAGTAATTCATAAAAAGGGGGATCCTATCTACTGTAAGTAATAGAATTATAGAGCTGAAATAATTTTAAATCATCAGTTTTTAATGGATTTTTAGACAATCTGGATGTATTTGCATATTTTGCTAAAATACATAACAGCTTGATCTACCAGTAAAATTTACTTGCAAAATAAATAAGTGAAGATGTCCTGTACTTTTAGCTGTGGGAACACAAACATTAACTTTCTTCACACTTAAACAGTTCAGCCTTATAAACATTCAGATGCTTAGTCAACTTTTAAGTAACTGAATTTCAATTGTTCATATAAGAATCGTATTTTGAAAGGCTGAGGATCGGAAGACTTATGTTATCATAGTACAAACTAGCCTGTGTTCCAGGCCCCAATTTTAGGTTACCCACTCTTTATTGCACTTAGTGCGCACCATACCTAATTTAATTGGCGTTCCCATACTCAATTTTTTTTTCTTTTTCGGATTATTCTGTCCCTAAATTAATTTCTTGTTGGTGGCGCTGTCAAGAATGAGAAAAATAATAAAAAATAAGAGACTTGTGGCAAGTCTAAGTACAAACAAGAATACCCCATGAACAAAAAGACATGGCACAGATATCTAACGACAGTTAACACTGCCTATGATTTTTTTTTAAATATATTTTCTATATACAGTGTTAAATTTCTGATGAACCCACACAATATTTTGGCTACAATAGTTTGTGTCATGAACAACAGCATTCATATCATTGATAGTTGCCTATAGTGTATGTGTAGAGCAAGGCAGTCATCCAAATTTATGCCTTGACCAGGGATCTGAGATATTCTCTTCGGCAAGGCAGGTCATCTGCAGGTCGGTAGTGTGCCGTCCAGACTGGCTCACCAACAAACAAACGCATGGCTTTGATATAATTCTGTAAAATAATTATCAATATATATCAATAACAACAATGATAAGAAAATAAAATAACAATTGCAAATTATCATCTAATAAGTTTTATTCAATACCTGTGTAAATATTTTAACCATAACTATAAAGTAATATTACGGTAATAGAAATTAAGTAGTAATCTAAGGTCTAGTTCAGACTAGGTGGATAAACCTGGCTCAATTCACTGGGTTTATCCACCGCCAGTCTGATCAACATCTCATCAATACAGTAGGTGGCTTATCTCAAGACGGGCTGACGTGTTCCTATAGTAACTAGGCTTGGCGTGCCATCATGTTTAACTTTTCTAAGCCAGGCTTTAATTGTTGCGGGGGCCTTGCATTGACTTCGGGTAACAAAATGACCAATCAGCATTCAACATACGCTGTGAGCAAGCGTACAATTCAATTCAATTCAATTTAAAAAAAACCCGGCCTAGTTGTTTAACCATAGAGCAAACTGCTTTGCTCCATAGTTTAACTATTGTGCTTGATAATGAATAAATTTAGGCTACGTTCAGACTTGGAGATAGGGCAGCAATGGTATTTTTAAGGGTGAAGCATAGTTCTAACTGTGGCTCTACTAGTTTGAAATGCTTTAGAAAATACAAATTGTGTGAACACAAAAGTTTAAAATACCAATACCAATTTATTAATAGTAAAACTGTGTAGAATGATGTCCTGTTTTTACTAGGCACATCTTTATTTTGTTTGAAGATAATCCAAGCACAGAAAATGGCCAAGGTGGAGGGTAGAAAAGGGATAGAAGAAAAAAAAAAAACAGAACTGAGACAATACTTTTCTGCTGTTGAAGGAAAAGCCAATTATAGTAACAAGAACCATGGGTGGTTCCCGGATTTGAAAGAGGGGGTTCAAAATGTTTCCAAAAACCTCAAAATGAAAGGGGGGGGGGTCCTCCCCGGGAAAATTTTGATTCCTAGATGGCCGGAAATGAGCTTTCCCGATTTCTGAGTCCTCTTTTAATGGCCTTTAAGTTCTTCAAAATTCAAGGTTTTCCCCCTCTTGAAAAAGGTCTGCTAATTTTATATCATTTTTTGGCCTATACAGAGAAAAAAGACATAGGCAATATATTATTATATTTCAACAATATTGAGTAGTTAGATATGTAGTCTTTCTTCTATGGATCGATGAACCAAGAGAACGCACTTTCGTACATAATTTTTTACGACGTCCAAAGAAAAACAGTGTGTAGCCTATAATTTATTTAATTGAAGACTAATTGGACTAAGCCTAGTTTGTCTGCTCTGCCAACCTATGCCTAGGTAGGTTAGCATGCCTTTGTAAGCCAGGACCCAGTAGTATTTTGTTATGTTTCTTCACAGAGGGGATGGGGGTTCATCCGAACCACCTGAACCCCTCTCCCCCTGGATCCGCCACTGAGAACAATGAACTATTGAGGGGTTTCTTTCCGGTCCACTTTTGACCAGATAGTACTGCATGTCTTTGAATTAATAATTTTCAACAAATATTGTGAGTATCAAACCTTTGTATCCAAGGTGAAGCGGTGATATATGCCAGCAGGTAAGACAATTAGATCATTCTTCTCCATGGCAATCCTCACCCAACGTCCTTGCCTGTCCCGGAAATCAAAGTAACCGCTTCCATCCAGTATAAAACGTATTTCCTCATCCGTGTGCAGATGCTCTTGAAAAAAGGACTTTATCTGAAAAAATTAATGACAAATTAAAATTATATTCAGTGTTGATCACTTGGGAAAAATACTCAGGCCTGCAGCAATCACCCAAAACAATTTACTTGCCAGCACCATAAAAAGCCCCTGCTTTAAGGCTACAATGAGAGCCATGTGTATTTTGTCTGCCCTCACATTTTCTTGGACCATTTCCATTTTTACTCGAAGAAAATCCTGCATAAATCATGGTATGCGCGTTAGCAACCATCTGTATAATTTGTTAGCTGAGATAATAATTCTTTATTCATTCCACTCATAAACAATCGAAATGAATTCACTTGAACTGAATTGAAAAAGTTGAATAGTAGAAAATAATCTTGTAGATTAAAATTGTGTTGAAGGTCATGGATAATAATAATAAAAAAAATAATAAAAGGAGCATTAATATTTATGGTTGTGATTTGCTTGTTTCTACTTCTCTATTTCTAAAAAAAAAAAAAAACTGTACAAATACTGTACACAACAAATTAACAGTACAATATGACGCAATAGTTCTTACAACAGACTAGGGTTTATTAACACTGCATGGGTGGTGCCAGCTTTTGCCCGACAGGCGCCCGATGTCCCTGATGGGATGGGGGGGGGGATGTCCCCGATGAAAAAAAGTGGGTGTGGTCAGGTGTCGCCAAAAACCTCTTGAAAAAATATGACGATTTAGAGGTTTCAAAGGCTTATTTAATCAATTATAAAGTAATAATATGTAGAAAATACAAATACTGTACGTTTTTTTTTCTCCACGATGAATTGGGGTTTTTCTCCCTGACAGGGCCCTGGCTGGCGGACCTAAGCATGACTATGTTGTACCTAAATTTAAACCGCATTTACAATTTCCTTTCCAATAATTCCATCCTTATCTGGAATGGCCTTCTGGTTTGTTTGAAGGAAATATTCACATGTTTAAACACAACTAAAACAACATCCATAAATAAACTTAAGGACCAACAAAGTTATTAGTTCCTCTGAATGTACAGTATTCTTCAAGTCTTCTTCAGTTTTTTTTTTTATCATTTAATAATAATATTTCCTTCATGGTGATTGACTAAAACCCCTACAGTTTGCTTTGGTCTGATCTGTCTAAAGAAAAAAAGATTATCTAATCATTACCCTCCTGAAAATGTATCCTGTACCCTTTTTTACAATTACTGCTCATATTCCTCAGTTTTAAAAATTAAAAATGGTCTAACAAAAGATGTTTTACAACCCATACCACCATTCTCTTTATACTATACTATTGGTAAAATATTTAATAACAAGTAAAAAAAAAAAAACTTGGTTTAAATATCACAATACAGTCACCTTTTCTTCATAATTCGGCAGCTTATCCTTAGATATACTGATAACATCTTCATAGCTATATCCTCTTTCTTTACGGATTTTGTCCAACAAGCCTTCTTCCTTGTAATTATCTGCATCAATCTATAAACCAATTAATTAATTAATTAATTAATTAATCAATCACTAAACTTTAGAATTATAAACTACAATGCAATAATCTCATAAAAATTACATAGGCCTACTACTGTCAAATTGTAGCAGTTTCATACCACTATTATCAAACATGGTGTGCCTTTTTAGAGAATTTTCACTTTATTTTAACTTTAATTATTTAACCATCTTTGTCAGTAACAACATCTTGCATCTTATTTATAATTCATTCATATCATTATTAGTTTATTTATTTCACAAGAGTTACTATAATATCAGACCTGCCAACTCACCTCATCCTGTCGGATGTCACCTGATATTTAAACAAATCTCCAGTTCTCCCGATCGAATGTAATTTTCACCCGATTTCACAGGCCACCCCCCCTCCCCAAAAATACTCCGATTTATGCATAATTTGATTGATTTGATCGTTATTATTCAATGTATTCGCCGGCTGAAGCTATCGGCACTGCCGCAGTGCGAAAAAAAGCTGCTGTTTTCTATCGGCACTGCCGCAGTGCCAAAAAGCTGCTGTTTTCTATCGGCACTGTCACTCGAAAAGCTGCTTTTTAATTATCAAAAGGATGTTTTTATCTATAGATTATGGTATCAATAATTGGTTAGGTCTAGCCTTGATTGTTAACATTATAATATATGTTTTACAATTAAATTATAATTATTTCTAATTATTAAATATATACATAGCCTATATCTGGGCCCATACAAAAAACAAAAAATAAAACAACAAAAATTTAAAATAAAATAGTAGTAGTAGTAGTAGTAGTAGTAGTAGTAGTAGTAGTAGTAATACCGTAATAATAATAATAATAATAATAATAATAATAATAATAATAATAATAATAATAATAAATAATAATAATATAATAATAATAATAACAGTGCTCGAAATGAATAAAATTTGTTTAATTAATGAGATGAATCAGCATATATTAAATCAACTTGCGTCTATGCAAAACCTGTTTTAAATAAAGGTGTTATCTATTTTATTCTGCTGTTTAAAAAAAATAAACTTATAAATTATAAGTACCGTAAGTATTTTCTATGATAATTTTATCCACATAATTCATGTTTTCAATGTTAGTATGGTTGATAAATAATACATAAAATAATAATAATAATAATAATAATAA